CCCCCCCCCCCCCCCCCCCCGACCCTCGGTCCTGGAGTGCACCCCTACCATTTCTACATAGCCCTACAAACCACAAAGGCACAGCAGTTGACTGTAAGAAAAGACAATTTCGTCTGAGGCTCATTTGACGCCTCTTTAGATACATTCAAACACGTAAACTCGGCAAGAAAGGCAAGAAGAAGCTTGGTGCTGCGGTGAGACTTGTCGCAGAAAATCGAAACTGTTTCCCACCACCCGAACGCCCCATCGAAAGTTCCCTTCAAGGCGATCATCTCAAGTCGCGAAGCAGCAAAAACGATCAATAGTCCTTCAGGCCCGGAGACAGCATTTCAGCGTCCCCGGGGTTCCGGAAAACACCTCTAGGCAATAACCATAATGGTGGTCGAGTTGATCTTGTTGTGCGGGGTGGAGAACCCTCACTCCGCGCAAGGGGGATGATCGCACCACGTTGTGTTAAAATGGTCAAGCACCCTCGAGGCAGTTACACAGTGCTTACAACTGTCTCTGGAAGTGAAAGCACCAGAAAATAAATTAATTCATACGCAGCTGTCATCCGTTCGCAAGGAAGTAAGCACGAGATGCCGAAAACCCTTGGCAGGATGCAGCACACCTTTCATGCGACTCGCCGAATGTCTCACGGCGCTTCGCGCTTGGTGATGTGAGAGCCTGGTCCGGTGAGAACCCGGCGTGCTCCGTCCCGGCTTTGTAGGGATGCGAGGTCAATGGTCTAACGACTACGGCATGCACGACTATGAGTACACCCCCCCCGCCTGCCCCCCGTGGCATGCTCCAACACTACTCCCAAGAGCTGGATAAGCACAACATGCAATTCCTCGGATGCATATCGGCACCTAGACGCTCAAATGGCGTTTGCTGTACGTCTGACTCGAATAATCCACCCACCGCGTAGACTAGTCCTGACAAAAACGACAACCGTAGAGCATGTAGTCTAAACATCAACGATTGGTGTCGGGGTCCGTTGCCGTCCTCGAGAAGAAACGGGGGCCGGCGGCGGCGGCGGCGGCTGAACCAAGGGAACCACCGCCCCTCTCGACCGCCCCGCTCCTCCTTGGACGCGAGCACCGGCCCCCGCCCGCCCACCCGCCCCCCTTCCCTCTCCCCGAGCACCAGCGGGGCGGCCCCGGCCACCCTGTCCCTGGCCACGCCCGTGTCGCCGTTCCTGACGCCCACCACAACCGTCCGCGTACCGCTTTTCCCACCCCCCGCGCTCATCTCTCCTCGCCCCCCACTCCTCCCGCCGCCTCGCCCTCCGGCTCTCCCGCCGCCCTGCCCGCCGCCTTGCCCACGACCTGCTCCGCTTGGTCGATTGGCCTCCCCCGCTGCCCTTGCCTCTGCGCGTTCCGCCTTTGCTTTCTCAGCTGCCTCCTTCTCTTCTTTGTCCTTCCTAGCAATGGCAGTCGAACAGTCAGTAAAACACACATAATTCGCAGCAGCGCTCGCACATATGAAATAAAATCGCGCTTACACACACCTGAGTACTGCTCGCAAGGGCCGGTTGCAAGCGGTGGTGACGGGACTTTTATTTTTGCGCGCAACAGCTGTTGGATTCGTTTAGACTTTGGGTGTGAATAAAAAACTCCACCACCAATGACAGTTTATATGGAGCTCCAAACCAAGGTGGGCTTACAAAAACAATGCGTCCTACTGAATTATCGGCTTGCTTACACTTCGCGCAGCGTTCAGCAACACACATGCATGTGCGGACCAACAGCACACACGCCCGCTGCTGCGTGCTACACCAAAACCAAAAATATGTCCTATCATGAACGAGCCCTACCATTTCTTCGGTAAAGTACAACTGAGATCACCACAAGGAATGCTGCATGTTCAACCCTCAACCGGATCCAGTATCACACGACGTTGTGTGTGCATGACAGGCGCAGCCGCCCTGTAAAGATATGCGGAACAACTGCTGTTTTTTTTTTCGCAGCGGCAGCAGAACTCCGCTTTGTTGTGACTCTGCGAGTGCCGCTGGTACTTCACCTACGAACCCGCAGCAGTCGATACTGACACCACTAGACACCACTAGACAACACTGACACCTTAGCCCTTACCCTAACTCGCCTGTCTCATCCGTGTTGATGATGCGGTCCGGCGTGAGCTTGGTCTCGGCGAGGTACGCGTCCCAGGTCTCGTAGAAGGCTTCAAGGCGAGACTCGTCGTCTTCGTTGATCCGGTTTGCTTCGTAGATGTGGGTGGCTCGCTCCGACAACTCCGGGTGCCTCTTCAGGAACCACTGAAGCCAGCGATCCCCCGGGCCCTTGTCTGGGTCCCAGGGCGCCCGTCGAGGCAGATCTTCCGCACAGCGTCTTTCAGCTCCCTCCGACCCAACAGCATAAAGTGTCGGGGAAGCGTAGACCAAGACATGTTGTACGAAATCTTCGTCCTCCTTGCTCAGGACAGTCCCGGGACCAACTTTCGCATCTATGGCCACCTTGTTGGTCACACGGCTGTGCAGCGAGTTCCTGCTTAACCCGTAGGCCTCGGCAGCACCCCTGACTGACATCTGACCGCTGCGTACCGCATCAACAGCCTTCTGGGCCTGCTCTGGGTTCACTCTTCTCCACCCCATGCTTAGCAGCAGGAGCCCGAAAAAGGCAAAGACGCCCCGCATCACGGGTGTGGACGGAGTGGGTGCTGTACCTCGGGGATGCGTGACCCGATCGGCGCGCTGAAGTGCTCGAACAAAAAAAGCTAACGGAAAGCTGAGGATTTTGAAAACAAAACAAAACAGGGGTCCCCGCGGATTGTGCGGGGATACACGCCCATTCAAATCAATTGTCCCTTACTAGGGGGGTGTCCCTTAATAGGTCGGTTTACTCTAATAGTAGGTTAGGTGTTGGGTTGCAGAAGCGCGGGGTCTTCTTGTCTTCCATGCTCTCCAGTACCCCACCCCCCGATATTGCGCGACGGTACCCGCGACAGTGACGAGTATGTAGAATACGGCAACTGTCTTCCACAAAGAAAAGGCGCGACCTCGACGGCCTTCGCTTTCGGAAATGCTTGCTTCGACCCAGGTGCTGACGGCCCAAAACGAGGCTCTGAGGACCATCGTGCCGCCACCGCACACCCCTGCGTCAGCGACAGAAAAGAAGGAGCCGACGACGCTGGCTAAGGGGCAGGGGCGACGCCTCGGGTCAGGTATGTGCTTGTAGCGCAGTTTCGGACAAACTTTAATGGTAATTTACCGTCGATATCTCGTGTGTTTGGGGGGGGGGGGGCCGCTGTTTCTATTCCATTGCCATAGCAGGCGTCAAACAAGCACCTACAACAATCGGGTTGTTTTAATTTGGCATGGGTCTAAGTGGGGTTTGTCGCCGTCTTTGTTTCATTGCCGATAAGGCACAGCGCCCGGAAGCAGCACTTTCTTATCCATCGGCCATTACCCTCTCTCTTTGTCTTACATGGCATTGGTGTGTGTGGGTGAGCCTTGCTTGGTACACAACGACAGGGTCAACAATTGCAGCGGAAAAAGGGTTTTGAAGGCAAACGGACCGACCAGATCCAGATGCCCCCCCCCCCCAAATGCCCGGCATAGCCCAACTTCACAACGGAGGTTGGTTCTCCTTACCCGGGGTGGTGAGCTTTATCCCTGAAGAATCGGGAGAACCGCCCTTCTTCTTGTTGCCTTGGGATGGTTCTCGCCCTCCCACGGGGTCCTTGTTGTTGTTGTTGTTGTTGTGCTCACATTAAAAACCGTTCCGATCTCTCTACCCATTACCTTCTTCCGGCCGTACTAGTCTTACACTTGACCCGGTCGATTCCCGTGTTCATAGGCCAGCTTACCCAAACCAAGTAGGTCCTTGAAGAGCACTAGACACTTGCCGCCAAACGACCGTTCCGGGAAATGAAGTCAAGGTTTATGATCGAGCTAGACACAGAGCGATCGACGATGATGCCACCACCGCACATAGTTCTACGCCCCGTTTGCCGCAGCGCCGCTCCACAGGGGAGGGAGGCTTATCTCCTACATCCCCGACACACACGTGCAAATACCTCACTCACCAACAGCCAAAACTATCCCCCCCCGCCAAAAATTAAAATGAGTATGCCCCCCCCCCCCCCCCCCCCCCCCCCCCCCCCCCCCCCCCCCCCCCCCCCCCCCCCCCCCCCCCCCNTTAGCGGCCTCCCCAGACGACAGGGCCGTCACTTCCGTCGTGGGAGGGACGGTTGCCACCTCAGGCGGGAGTCCATACAACGGTGGCGGAGGGCACCGAGAAGCTGCGGTCAGCAGGGCCATGGAGGCGGAGAAAAAGCTGCGGCGGCGGGTGGGGGTGCTGGAGAAGAGGCTGGAGGAGAGGGGGGTGGAACTCCAGGCGGCGGAAGGGCAGACGGCGAAGGCTAAGGGTCTCCTCGCCAGGCGAGGCGTTGTTGTAGTCGGGGGGTGGCACAAGGTACCACACACCCCTCGACCGATTCCAAGACTCGAATACTTCACGAAGAGGATGCCAGCATCGTGTGACACGTTTTCGGAACGAGACGGTTTCCAACGGTGTCATTTTCAACACCGCCGCTGTCTCTCCTTTGAAGTAATCGAGCTCTGAAAATCGATCCGCGGGGTGTGGTGTCTCGTGTCACCTACGGTGGTCGGGGCGTGCGTGTAAGACGACGGCGATCGGTTGATTAATTAGTTGGTCCGCTCTCGTTGAGCAGGTCAGCGGCCATGAAGCATGTCGTTGAGAGAGCAATTCAACCACGGATGATGGGATTTCACTCTTTCCAGCCCCCAGCTTGCATTACGAGGGAACCCTTCTCCCTTCGAGTTTCGGCCGATTCTTCGTTTTTTTGGCGTCATGAACACGATGCTACACCTATCAAATGGATCAAGAGATGTCTAAACACGATGCTATAATAGTACACACCTACAGCAGTACCATCCAGTAAAGAAAATATTGCAGAATTCTCCACTGTTCGCTGTGACTCTTTCGCTCGACATGTCTCTCTGGAACCGCGTCTCCGAACGCCGGGGCTCACAGGGCGAACAGGGAAAAAGAGGCAGCGTTGCGCAAGCTCAAGGATGCGGACCAAGGCCACGATGGGGTACGTTCCAATCAGCGTATACCCCGCGCTCGCCTCACTTTAAGCGTCGTTCTTGGAATGGATGGGTGTTGTTTGCTTTGTCTCAACTGTTTTTTTCGCTGACGTTTGTTTACAAGTGTTCACCTTCTGCGTGTGTTCCAAAACATGTCTTACGTTCTCCATTTTTAGAAAGTTCTCCGTTTGTTAGGAGGTACTGAGGTACCGAGCTTAAACTGGAGCAGCTGGTAAGGTAAGGAAGACGGCAGCAGTACGTACGCATGTACGCATAGCCGTATGCGTTCGTAGTTGCTCGAGGGGGTCCGCTCAACAGCATTGTGGGAAATTTTGCGCAGCGCGCCCCCCGGGGTCTCCTTCCCATTTCGCGGTGCCCCTGAGACGATGTGTACTCCTCGCAGCGTGCGTACGAACAAACATGGCCGCCTGTATGCGTGTGTGTACGCAGGGGGGGCAAGACGCTGCCGTCTCTGACTGTTCTCGATCGCCCCAACCCCCCTTTTTTATACCCGTCCGCCCGTTGCGCCAGGGTGGACGAACGGGAGCGGAGTCGTCGTCGTCTCCCGAGGTGACCGACGACTTGCGGTCTCGGCTGTTCCAGCTCGAAGAAGAGAACGCCTCCTTGAAGCGTGTGGCGGAGATGGAGCTCCCTCGCGAGGTTGAGTCCCTCAAGCACCAGGTGAGGGGGGTATGTACTGACTGTATTTTTTTTTTTGCGGCATGGTGCATGCAACTACATGGGATGGCACATGATCGTGAACGTCTCTCGTATCTTGGCCGTCTAGTCCGCACGCGGTTGTTGTCCTGGCCTTCGGGGTTTGCCTTCGCTACGGTTCTACGATGTAGGGTACGTGTGCCCCGGCGGTGAGCTAGAACTTTCTTCACTCCCTTCCAAGTTGTTCTTTAAACTGATGGCCGTGGTCTTTGCTGTCTACTGCAGCACCAAATTCGTAAACCTTGGCCGCGGTAGTGGTGCTTGGCTCGTGTTCGATTGCGCAAGACCTCCTCCTTTCGAGCAACCACAACAACGCCTGGTGAATCAAAGGTTTCCCCTGCCTGTCCTCTGACCCCTTCCGATCTGCGGCCTCGCGTGTGGCCGAACAACAAAACGGGAACGAACCAACTGGTGACGGTATTGCTTGGCGACCCTAACCTGTCTCCGCTTTTCGCATACATACAGGTCCGGGCGCTGCGCGCTCAGCTCGAAGAGACAGACAACCGGCTTGAGGAGGCGGAACGCCGCGCTAAAGTCGTTGTCGCGAGGGCTCTCAGCTCGGACGGCAACAGCGGCGGCGACGGCGGCATCCTTAGGGCGGAGGAGGGCCTCTACCATGACCTGCAGGCGGCGAAAGATGAGGTGGTGGCGCTTAAGGCCATCGGCAGGGACTTGGAGGGACAGGTGGGGGCGTAGTATTCTAATGTTTTGCATGCCTTAGCGGTCAGACCACTGACCACGCGGCCTCGAGAGGGACACTTGGGGGGGGGGAAAGGGGGTCAGGTGCGCTTGGATGGCTAGAATGGATGGACCCGTGGTGACTATGTTACCGGGGATGTTCGGATTCTATTTTGACAGTGTACGGGAGATTGTTGAAGCGGCGAGATGATGGGACTGCCCGTGGTTACCCGGTTTACGGTCGATTATCATCAGCTATTTTGATGGATTAGGGAGATTGTTGACGAGGCGATACCACTGTGTGAGTTGGGCTCGCTATGGCTTCGCCCGGGGGAAACGAGTTGTGCTGCCCGCGTGCGGGGCGACATCTTGAACGTTTTGCCGCACGTTGTGAGGTAATCTCCCCGGTGTGTGCATACAGCCGTAGTGACTCCGTCCTAAGGCTGCAACTTGTAGGGATTCGGCCGGCGTTATTCCGGGCGCGCGGAACCATTCAGAACATGAGACACAAGTTGAACGTTCCATCTGTGCCGAGTACGCGATTTCACCGGCCTTCCACGGGGCGACCGACCTCATTCAGGGAACCACTTCCGTTGTACTTATCAACCTCGCTTCCACCAGAGGCATGGAATTTTTTTAACACGGCGGTTGGTGACACACAGCTACCTCTCTTGAACTCTACTCCGCGGGACCGCCGGTGTTGTTGACCGCCGGTTCTTGCGCTACACACCCTCACTCCTCTCTGGCTTGGTTTCTATGGACTCCTCTTTGGCTCGGTCTTGGGGACGCGTGTGAGTGTTGCAGGTCCTGGAGCGCGACTCGGCCAACGTGGAGCTCCGCTTCGACCTGGAGGCGAGGACAGCAGAGACAGAGCGGCTCAGGCGAAGAACCAGGGAGCTCCAGGCTGCCCTCAAGACGGGCGGCGGCGGTGGCGGCGCGGGAGCGAAGGACGGGTCGAGGCCGGCGGGCGGGCGGTTCAAGCGAGAGAGGTTTGTCGCTTTTGGTGCGGTGACGGAAGGAGAGTGACAACTGGCTGTCGCTGTTGGGGGTGGCGCCTCGCGGCAAACGCTTCGGTAAAACGCCCGCACCCTTTGTCCCACCCCCCCCTATACACTAAAAACGTTCTTCTTTTTTCCAGCCTGCCCGTGTCCCTCTGTTGCGCTCTTGACGCTCTCCTCCTCCCCGCCGCCGCCGTCTTTCCAGGGATCTTGAGGGAGTCGTGGATGCCCTCAAGCGCGTGACCGACAAGCTGAGGGGGGAGAACGACCGGCTTCGGAGGATGGCGGGAGAGGGAGGCGGGAAGGCCGAGGCACAGAGGAGTGCTCGAGAGGCCAAGAAAAAAGCGGTACATGAAGTTCTTGCCTCAAGGAGGTTATTAAACTGTCATGCTATACATGCTTGTGTTTTTCGCGGTTCGGATGGGCAAAGCATTGAAATTCTGATATCGACAGCAGCTACTTTTTTTATACATGGGGCTGCAGCTGCTGCAGGTTTTGTGTCCCGCGCGTCTCCAGATCGCGGTCTCTGTTGTTCATTTAGATTACGGAGATTGAACCAACACAGCGCGAAGATTTCACCCCGTCAGTCGAGGGCCCCAATGCGCCTGTGGAACAGACGGGTTTCATATAGTATCTAGGGCGTTCTTAGGGCGTTCTTACTCCCGCTGGTCGCCTGTCGTGCGGAATGCTGAAGATTACAAGCAGCGGATGTTGACTGAACACAACAACAGCAACAACAAAAGCAACAACACCACCCTACAGCAACATTTGCGATCTGACAAAGGCAGTGGAAATGTTCTTGTGCACCCTCTGCCGTGTTTCCCGCGCACACTAGGCGGAGCTGCGGGAGGAAGTGGACAGGCTGACCGCCAGGGCGAAGGATGCGGACAGCGCTGTTCAGAAGCTCGCGCAGAAGCAGGTCTGCCATGGTTTGTTTCGTTCTGTTTCGTCGAGTTTATTTGTACATCCGGGGGTTGATCGGAGGCGAGTGCTGGGGCGGGTAGGGCCGGCGTTGTGGTTTGTTGGCTGCGGGTATCGTTTCTCCGTGATGGTGGTGGCGGCAGTGATACGTGGAGTTCGATAGCTTCGTCTGTTCATGTGAGCGGTTCCCCCTTGCCAGGGTCAGGAACGCTATCGCCAGGATATTATTTGTTGTCTTTTGAAATAGAGAGGGGGGACTCGTAGCCCTATCCCCCAACCCAGACCGCAACCTATATGCAAACTAAAACCAAGATCACTACCCCCGCTAAGGCTACTGCGGGGCTACTCCCCCTTTTCTCGGAATCAACATATTCATGGTTTTGCAACAAGACGACATGCCAACAAAAAAATCGATTTATGGCGTATACCGCTTGTATGCTATACTCCTTTAGGTATGTCCTTTGTATTGCCTTCGGCCTGTGTGCTGTGTTTCTTTTTTTCACGACCTCCCTGCCTACTCTGCTGTGTTGGGTACCTTGATCTCGCTTTTGCTGTTGCTTTTGTTTTTTGTACATCTGGCTGTGTGCCCATCTGCCGCCTCTTTGTTCTGTTGGCTCCGTTACTCCCATGCCCTGGTGCGTAGTGCCTGGTGCTGGTACGTTACCCTTTGATTTTTTCTTTAGCGGGTGTGGGAAGCGTCCTCCTTTGTTTTTGTTTTTGTTTTATTTTGATTGGTTTCCGAGGGCTCCTTCCTCGACCGGTCGGTGCGGTAGCTGTTACTTTCTTTCTATCATTTTGTTTTCTTTTCCCGAGTGGTACCCTATTTTTGTTTTGTTTCCCGGCGGCGTCGAATGTGCTGGGTTTTGAGACCACGAGCTCACCATTTTTGTGGACTATAGAGCTAGTGTGGGAAACAACAACAACAACAACAACAGCAACAACAACCGCTTGCTCCACCTCCCGCGGAATGCAGAACGCCTCATGGAAATCCCCTCCCGCTCCACCATCCTCAGGACCTGGTGAACCAGCTTCGGCGCACGCTTAAGGTGCGAGATGCCACTATCAAGACGTTCCAAGATCGAGCAGAAGATCTCGCGGAGGCGAAGACGCTTCTGTCGGCTGGTGGGCGTTTTCGCGTGTTAACCCTTCTGAACCAATATTCTCTTGTGTAAACCTATACTCTTTGTGTCTGAACCTTCACCGAGACGAAGACATTTCTCTCGGCAGGTTGGATTCTTTGTGTATTTCCCGCTTGCTACCCTTCGGGTTGGTCAACGCTACATAGCTACAGCAGTAGGCCATGGCGGTAATTCCCCGGTAGCTACAGTAGTGTCAAGAGCACAGTCTCACCCCCCCCAATCCTCCTCGCTTTGCCCGGTGTTCCTACCATCAGAACTCGAAGCCGCGAACCAGCGCTTAGTCGCAAGCGATCGCGACAGCCGGTCGTCCTGCAGATCCCGGCCTCCTCCTCCTGCTGCTGCTGCTGCGCACACCGCCAGAGAGCTGGAAGACGCCAAGAGGGAGGCGGCCACGCTGCGGCAGCAGGTGCAGCACCAGTCGGAGGTTGTCGATCGTCTCAGGGGAGACATGAACCGCGACCGCGAGGAAACGGCGGCGGCGGTGGGGCCGGGAAGCGAGGCGTTAGAAGCGGCGAGAGCGGCGGCGGAGTCGGCGCAGGACGAAGCGGACGAGCTTAGGGACCGCCTCGCGGAGACCGAGAGGGAGCTGCAGAGGATGGAGCGGCGTTGTGCTAGCGCCATGTCGACGGCGTCGCGGGGAGGGGAAGGCGCCGCTGATTCTTTCGACGGAGGCAGCAAGGACCTTCTTCGAGTGAGCGGCACCGGCGGGCTGGGGTCCCGGGGTGATGGAGAGGGCCGGTTGACGCAAGATAGGCTCAGGGAGGAGAACGACAGGCTCAGGCAGGAGAATGACAGGCTCAGCGAGGAGCTGGGGGCGTTCGACCACGAGTTTTTTGAAGAGATCGAAGACCTCAAGTACAAGTACAGCGAGGCCGTGCGAAAGCTCCGACACTTCGAGCAAGAGCGAATAGGGGGGTGATGGTGTCGTGGTAAAGAGCTACGTAGAGCCGGTGATGTGTCCAGAGAGAAGTATCAGCACGAAACACGAACAGTAGATAGATACCTTCCTGTAGTGCGTTAAGGGGCCTGCGAGGGTTGATTGTTTGAGGAACCACTGGTATGTCACAAGTTCTGCATCAGCGCCTTCCCAGGAGGAGTCTAGCATGGCTTTCTCACAAAGAATGATATGCTAAGCCTTTCTCAGGGCAACGTGATAAGGATATATATACTAGGCCGAAACAAGGCCAACTCCCCTGCCAAGTGGTTCCAGACATGCAGTACATACACACGAAACCATTTTGCTCCCCGAGAGGACTCGCCCGAAGCACACGGCACGGCCGCAATACGGGAAGGTTGAGCGTGCCACTCCAGAAGCAGCGTGTTCCTGCAACTTGGGGGAGAGAAAGAGGGTACCCACACTTTAAGTAATGGCCAATGTTTTTAAAGATGGGGTTTTCCGGTTGGTGGGAAAATTCCTGATCGACCGTTGACGTCATCCAACGGGGGTCTAGTTCATTTTTGGAACAAGTCAAAGATTTCGGATTTTGCACGTAAACCATGACAGACACGGGTTATTCAGTCGCTCCTGCCCTGGTACATATAGTATTTTAATAGTACATTACGCTGACCTTCTCCAGCATGTGTTTCGTCGATGTGAAATGGTTGATGATGCTGCTTTGCAGCGCTGCCAACACGACGGTCTACCCCTGCAGACGCGGCAGCTTACATGTTCCCGTTGCGATGCGGGATATACACTAAACGAACTGCCCCCCCCCGGGCGACCACCCAGAGTAGCTCACACAACCACAGAGAAAAATCTCGACCACGACTCTACTTGGCATCGACCGCGCATGGTTCTGCCCAATCCTACATAACTACCGGCGATACAGGAGCGACATGACTTACAGCATCTTTTGGGCCCACCCCGAAGACACGCCAAGCAGGCAACCCCCGTTTCAACGAGGCGACGGGACTATCCTGCCCACACTCCGACAAAGAACGCACGGAGGAGTGATGCCTATCTATGTAGCAACCGTGTTCGCGATTCATTGGATATCAAAAAAGGACAGCGGGCTACTACAGACCGCGGTCGGTGTCAATTTCGAGCACCACATGCACAAACAAAACAGATCTACGCTGTAGATTCTCTACGAGGGCAGTTCCTGGAAATTCAAGAGCAACCACTCACTCTACTTCATCACGCTAACGCACCGTGCCACCCGAGTACCCCCCACCATTGCTGAAGTTTTCAAGGCAATCAGCACAATACAACTTGTCGAGGCCGAAAGAAAATTAACGCAGACAATACCCCCACACACACTTTCTCCTCGTGCGTCCACGACAAAACAATACTTCGTTTTTATCTCCGAAAAAGACACGATGGGTTATACGACGGAGAAGCCATCCAAACAGAACCGAGCGTGCGCTGGAGGCGTGAACACTACATACTGGAACAATGACACACCGCGGCTGGCCCCGGGACATGGAACTCACTGCGATCACTTGCGACAGTCCACCTCTGGCGACACGTAGCACACAAACAAGTGACGCGAAACACACACACAGTTAAATGTTAAATCTCGGCAGGCCCAAAAGTCCAGCAACAGGGACAAAAAGGAAAACAAAAAATAAAGACTTGGGAGGCACCAGTCGGAGGAGACAGGGGGCTGTGATATCCCTTGTTTTCTACAATGAGCGGTACAGGTGATGGTGATGTTCTCTACGCCAACAACAGCGCTGGCCCGTTCCTAGCCAACAGCGGAAGCTCTACTAATGGGAGACAAAATCTGTTGTCCCCTTTTTGTCCCACAACTCACCAAACGACCCTGTTCCCACCGCTGCGTACCGACAAGCTCCAGAACACCCCCCCGTCATGAATCGAGGGCTAACGCCTCGCAGAGAGCCGTCGGTGAAGGGACACAATCGACAACCATCAAACCAAACCCTACCATAATCTCGCCCCCCAAACCAGGCGTATCCCCCCAGGGGGCGTGCGCGGGAACGACCTCTCGCCAGCTACCACTGAACGAGCACCGCCTACGCAATGAACGGCGTTCGACAATTCGAGACACACCACGAGAAAGCACCTCTCCACCAAAACTGTGTGTCGTTGGCCCCCGAAACCGAACCAATTCGGCACATCGATCGCCAATTCGGCCCATCCATCACCAATTCCGCACATCGATCACCAGTTCGGCGCATCGATCGGCACATCGGTCGACCATCAAAGCAAGGAAGCGATCATTTGATCACGCCTGGCCAGCGGAGGAAGGGTTGGTGAGGTAGTGGTACATCTGGTCCTGCAGGTTGATGCGCTGTGTCGACGAAATCTCCGTGCCCTCCAGCCGGAGCGTCATCGTGATGAAGTAGCTGTGCTTTTCGTTGGCCTCGAAAACGAGCTCCCCGGTCACCACCTGCCATATACAGCAATCGTTCGGGAAAGGTGGGTAGGTACAGGGGCGGGGGTGGATGGGAGAGGGGGTTGGGGTTGCTATCGTGCGGAGGCGCTGCTGCTTTGGTTGCTTCGGAAAAATGATGTCTTCTGGCTTTCTGGCTGCCAAAAACCGTCGCGGAAGGCAGGGGCTATTCATTAAGCCTGAGCCCTCAGCAGTCACTATTAGTGGTAGGTTCTTATCCAGGCCACATCGCACATGGGTGAGAATAGTTTAAGTTTCGATCTTGATTGGAGCCTGGCTTTGTTAGCTGACTGCCAAGTTCTTCAATGGTGGCGGGTTCGCAACTCTTTTTTCTTTATCGGCCTGCCTTCCCCAGGAAAAACGAGTCCTCCGGCCGCCTTTGCCGGGCGGGTTACGACAGGGACGGGCGGAAAATAATGAACACGAAAATAATGAACACTGCACGTCTTCTTGCTGGCCTTGAGCTCTTCGACTCTTCGGTTATCGACCCAACAAACAATGCCGGGGGTCTGCTGTTTGTTGCTCGCGGAAGTGTGGTATTGTAGAAACACACGTAGGTAGGTCCTACACTGCATCTGACGGAGAGGAGAGAAGGGCCCAGGGCGCTGCTTGACTGCTCAAAATTTCGACGACAAGACCGAGTACTGCATGTTGTTTTCTCCACCTGTGTCCGTCGGCGGAGACGGCACCCCCCCCCCCCCCCCCCCCCCCCCCCCCCCCCCCCCCCCCCCCCCCCCCCCCCCCCCCCCCCCCCCCCCCNACGAGGAGAGCTAAACTAACCTGGGTGGCGTTAACAGCGAGAGGGGTCTCGAGCATGAGGCGGCACTGGTACCAGTGAGTCTGCGGGGCCTCCGGAGCCGTGGACAGCGTGACGACCGACCCGCTGCCGCGGAAGGTCAAGTCGAACCAGCAGCCAAGCCCGTGGCACAGCGACGTCTTCGTCACGGAAAACCTTTCAGAGCGTGTGTGTGTTTGGGGGGGGGGGGGGGG